AGCCCTCCGCGACTCCCTCATCTAACAAGAAGACCCCCCACCCCGGGTTGCCCTCCACCGACCCCCTGATCTAACAGAGACCCCCACCCCGGAGTTCTCATCTCTATTCAGCGCCCTCTGCGACTCCCTGATCTAAGAGAGACCCCCCCACCCCGGGTGCCGACACTCCCTAGTCTAACAGAGACCCCCACCCCGGAGTTCTCATCTCTTTTCTCAGCTTTGTGCTGTACCAGCTCGTATCTGGTACATTGTATTCTGTTTCTCCTGTGTCTCTAGAAGTAAGAACACTTGGGTAAGAGCCAGGAAGGCACGGGCGCCGTCTGTCTCCTGAGGGAGCTCCTCTGTCAGGCATCAGGAAAACACGTGCTGAGCGATGTGACATGCGTGCCAGCCGTGCCCGACCCTGCGCGGCCCCCATGCACACCCAGACGGCAGTCTCCTTCTTCATCTCCACTGAAACTCCGTCCAGACCTGGAGTCTCCGCTCAGAACCACACTGCAGACGTCCCCTCCCCCATGTCCTTGTGCCAGCATCTCGCATGTTCCCCGGGCTTTGCAGACGCGGATGATGGGTCTTCTTTGTGAGCGACTTTCTGGAGGGGTACTTGCAGGTTATAAAGCGCACCCATCGCAGGCCTGAGGAGTCTGACAAATGAGCGCTCATCGGACCACTAACCCAACCCAGACACAGACCAGCGCCCTCACACAGAGACTCCTCCGTGTCCTTGGAAGTCAGTCCCCTGACCCCACTGACGGCTCTGTCGGGCTCACCTCAGTACATTCGGTTTGCTCATTCCAGGATCAGAATTAATTGTATGGTACAAACCCTTTACATCTGGTTCACTGAGCATGTCCTCAGATTTGCCCCTGCTGTTTCTAACTGCAGCTCCTTTTTATGGCTGAGTAGCATTCATTCCATAACAGGGATCCTACAAGCAGTCACCCTCTACCTGCAGGTAAGCGCCTGGCTGTTTCCGATGGGCTATTTTGGACGTGGCTGCAACAAACACCTTTGTGTATGACTTTGCCTATACATTTATTTGTTTGGTAAAAAATCTAAGACTAGAAGCAGAAGATTTTTTAAGTGTTGTTCACCAATATGAAGATTAACGCTATGTTTTCAAAAGTGGTTGTTTAAGTCACACTCCCACCAGCAGTGTGGGAGAGTCTGCTTGCGTTGCCCTGATTGTCGGTGATGCTGAGCCTCTTCCCCTGTGCCAACTGGCATTCCCACGCCCCCTCTGTAAAGCAGCTCCTTCCGTTTTTCCCCGTTTTACAGTGGGCTATTTATGTTCTGATAATTGAGTAGTAACAGAACTGTGTATGTTGTTTATGTTGAAATAAATCTATATTTATATATGCTTATAAATTTTGGATACAAGTCTCTTGTTATAAATTTGGAATATTATCTCCCTGTGTGGCTTGACTTTTTGGTTTCAGAAAGTTTATGGAAAATGTACATAATGAAGAGCAGTGCACGAATCTTAAAGTTTTGCAAGAAAATAAATCCATCTGTCAACTCCATTTCCCATGAACTTTTTGAGAGAGCAGAGGTTCAGGGGTGGATGTTGCGGCATAGCTGGTAAAACCACTGCCTGTGACGCTGGCATCCCATATGGGTGCCGGTTCAAGTCCCGGCTGCTCCACTTCTGAGCCAGCTCCCTGCTAACGCGCCTGGGAAAGCAACAGAAGATGTCCCAAGTGCTTGGGCCCTGCACCCAAGTAGGAGGCCTGGAATAAGCTCCTGGCCAAGTAGTAGCCATTGTGGCCTTGTGGGCAGTGAACCAGCAGATGGAAGCTCTCTCTCTCTGTAACTCTTTGAAAAAAAAAAAAAAACCTAAATAAATAAAACAAAACCAAAGAGTGAGCAGGGTGTAAATGATTTTTTCTTTAACTTCTGCTTTTTATGGCCTAAAAAATCCCTGCCTTCCTGAAGTAAAGGGCTCTCACCACAGCCATCAGCAGCGAGGTTTGTGTGCTAAAGGTGTGGCTAGCACAGCTCACTGTTATCCCAGGTGCTGACTGGATGACCCAGGATCCAGGCAGCGAGTCACGCCACACAGAACACCACTGAACGGGGTGGCCTGTGTCCTAACGTCCCTGGAGCGCTCGTTTTAGCACTGACTTCCGTCTCCTGGCACTAGACAAGCACAAGTTCAGAATCAGCCACACTGTACAAGCAACAGAAACAGGCCGGCTTTAAGCAACCAGTGGATCTCAAGGAAGGGTGCTGCGGAGCTCAAGAGTTCTGGAAGAATCTGCAGAAGCCATCCTGGAGGACAGGCGGGCCCCCAGAGTGCTCAGTCTGGGCCGCAGCGTCTCAGGCAAGGACCTGCCCCGAGCCCACTGGTCATGGAAGATGGAGTCCTCCCCGACACCTTCCGTGCTTGCTCAAGACTGCACACCATGCATTTATCCACCTTCCTGCAATGCAAGCCGTGCTCTAGGTGCCAGGCACAGACTAATGACCACAGCAGATGAAAAAGCTGGCCTCCGGGAAGCTCACAGCACTGGAGGTGACAATGAGTGAGCGGCATGTACAGAGCTGGTCGCCCTGGAGTTCCCAGGGGACATTTCGCCCTCTTCCCTTTGTACTTCCGTGGTAATCAGAATGGGCCCTTCCTCACCTACATGCGATGGGAAGGAAGAGAAGAGAATACTGGAGGGGAAAAAAGAAAGGAAGAAAAGTAGCACAGTACATTTCATCTAAACAGCAGATGACTCTTCCCTACTATCTAATGCTTACTAAATAATGTTATTACTAATAAACACAGACTGCGCAAGTCAGTGCCACATCCATGACTTCATCCTCCTAGCCATCCTGGAAGTCCTGAGATGCCTACACAGCACTTTCCCTCCGTGCCTGAGAATCTTTCGGCAGACGCGTTTAGGCCTTGAAATCTCACACGATGGGAAGCGTATTTGTGTTCGCTCACGGTCACATGGCTACAGTTCCTCATCCCATCCATGACAAATTCCACAGTGCCTCACATCACAGTAGCAGCCTTCATGATTTTACAGCAGCCCACGCTGATACTTCAGAACAACGACTGATCCCTGCTACGGTTCAGGGTGGATTAGTTTCATTCTGGGAAGCAGGAGTTAAGAGACGCAATGCTTGTATCTTGCTGACTGATGGGCTGCTTCTCTCCCCTATCAAGTCCGATCATAAAGACATGCAGAACGCATCACAAATCACCAGCAACTTGAAGAGTGCTTCCACTGACCTCGGAGGCACCCGGGACTGCTGACGTGGGGGTCACGAGAAAGACTGCACTGTTGCCTGTTTATTCCAGTAAGTGTTTACGCTGGGTGTTCTATCTGGCAAAGAGCTCAAGGTTACGCTGTCAGTGCGAGATCATTAGCTTTGCAATTTCTCCAAAAGCATTTGCGTTAGCAAATGTTCATCCTGACTTCAGGGAACATGTTTATGTCCAGGTGTAAATCCTGCTGCTGGGAGAACTCCTTGCTAATTACACTGCTGCTGTTCTTTATCTCCCTGTGCATGAACTGGGCAGCAGAAATTCATCAAAAACCTTCTCTTCCTGAACGGGGTTAGCTGAAGCTCTTAGCTCGAATGGCGGCGTCCCGGTAAGCGACCTCTATCTCACACCCGTCCTGGGAGAGGTCGACGGAGCAGTGCCCCGTCTCCCAGGTTCTATCAAGGCAGCCAGGAAGTGACAAATAACCAGTGATTTTTGGTAAAGTGGTGTCAACTTGCTGTCAGAAGATGTCCCGCCTAATGGATACCTTGTTTTGCTCTCTGGAATCTCTCTGAGAAGGAAGTGTGATCTGTGGCCGTGGACTTGGGGAGGTACAGGTGACTTCACAGAGCCACTGGACTGTGTCAGGCCTCGAAGATAACATTGCCATGCTTGCAGAAGCAAAGCAGAAGGTTCTCCGCCTAGGGGTGAGAACTACCTGCACGGACATCACTGCAGGGTGGCCATTTCCTCTCAGGGCTAAGACACAGCCTCCCAGGTTGGAGTGCCTGGCTTCCACCGCTGGCTCTGCTCCTGATTCCAGCTTCCTGCCAATGTGTACCCTGGGAGGCATCTCATCCCTACACCTCTGTGGGAGACCCAGTTTCAGTTCCCAGCTGCCGGCTTCAGCTGCTGGCCACTGTGAGCATACGGGGAATGAGCCAGTGAATGGAAAACCTGCCTGTCTGTCTCTTTCTCAGTCTTTCAAATAATTTTTTAACAGTGGAAAAAGAGAGAGAATTAGAATAATGTATGATAATTCATGTAAGACAATTACAAGGGTACTCCCAAAAGTTCATGTAAAATAGAACTAAAAGACAATTTACTCTGTTGGAAAAAGTTAAAAACCAATGCATAGTTGATGCACAGATGAAAGCAAAAGAAAGCGCATGGAAAATGTGTATTATGTAAAAAGTAAGTATGGATTTAAAAAATTTTGCACCATAATAAACTCACTTTTTAATTCCATTTTTCATGGACTTTCAGATGCACCTGCATTTATTCTTGTATAGAGGAAAAGCATGGAGGTCATATAAGTGGCCTCTCCTGGACACAGGTGATAGCCCTTACAAACAAGGTGACAAAGTGGCCTCTCCTGGACACAGGTAACAGCCCCTACAAATAAGGTGACATTTTTGTTGGCCTCAAAGCTAAACGAGAATTCAACATATCTGGTTTTCGAATCTGTTATACACTTCACATTTTCCGAGTTAAATGTGAATTTTGCAGTCAAAACACATCAATGCTTTTTAGAGCTTGTACACTCAGTGATCCCTAAAATGCATTCTTCAGTTACGCGTGCCACCAGACCCAAGCTCAAGTACTTCCGTCATGAACTGACAGCTGGAGGAGTGGACAGTGGCAACGGGCAGCACCTGGGTGAGCAGCTGTCCTTCTCCCTGCAGGTACGGGGCAGAGATACACAGTGGCAGCACAAAGGCAGGGCCACAGAGGCTGGTTGGGGGCTCTTCAGAATCAGATCCCAAGAAAATTTTAGGACAAGGCATATCTGAGGCGCACACGCCTCTCTCAAGGGCATCTAAGAATCTTGCTACCAAGTGGCTTATGACCCTGAAAACAAGTTTCAGACTAAGCCTACCAAATGCTCAACATGGTTGGCAACAAGCCCTGCAACAGGACTCTGTAGGGCAAGGCCACTGGGTCAGGTCGGTGGGTTAGTCAGGGGTCCCTAGAGAAGTAGAACCAATAGGACAGGAATTACACTCATAGATGTGGGAGTAGGGAAGAGGCATAAGGAGGAGTTGGCTCCTGCAGCCAGCTTGTGGGGAACTGGGAGAGCCGAGGGTCTGGGTCTAGTCTGAGGACACCAGGCTGGACACGCAGGCAGAGTACGGATGAATCCAAGCACCAGAAAAAGCCACTGCCCCAGCTCAATGACAGTGAAGCAGAAGGAATACTTTCCTGTTACCCTTCTGTTCTGTTTTAATTCTAACTGGCGTGGCCCAAATATCTGCCACCCCGACATGTGAAATTAGCCACTGCAGCAGGTGAATGAACTAAACCTACCGAAGTGGCCTGTGGTGACAGGCACTCCTGTGAGGGTCCACAGCCTGCGTCTGTCTGCTGCACAGCACAGGAGCAGAGGTCCATTCCTCTTCTGTTTCTTGCTCTCCGTTATATTCCAGGGCTCTCCTGTACCAGCCGCTGGCTTGGCCTATGGACAAAACTGCGAGCAAAATCACTCTCATCTCATGCACATCTGTACCTGCTGGAGACACACATTCATCAGCAAACACCGACAGGCTGGACCGACTGCCAACCAGCACCGCCTTGGCCTGCAGTGGAGAAGGATGGTCCAAGATCTCCCTGGGAAGCATAGCCAGAGATTATGAGAAGGGGTTAAAGTATATGACAGGAGGGAGAGGAAGAGAGCTCTCATCTAGTCAAGAAATATTCTCTGTCTCTCTAATAAAAAAATTTTACAAACTTTTAATATCCCTTAAGGTAATCACAAACTCTAGGGTCCTAGATTTTGACCATGATAATTCACCTGCTTAGAACCACCCTTGGAGCATGGATATCTAACAAGGTACTACCTGTGATACTACCTGTGTGTCCCCACATACCCAAGGCACGTACATGTTCAACCATTTAAAATATTTTAAAGGTAAATTACCAATACAGCAGGAAGGTCTGGCAGAGTCCTAGACACACTAAATAGAACATGCCCATGGAGCTCAGGTGAATGTGTTTAGCACATATTTTCATGTTTAAATCTACATTTGGGCATCACTGATAAGAGCATAGATTGAGATTAAGGACAAAATGAAGAGGGCTGAGCAGTGGTTATCTGGTTAGGGATTTGTTTGCCTAATTATCCTGGTACAGAGCTAGGATCTGTTCCCCACAATATTAATCATGCTGGCCATGCTGACATGTGTGTGTATTACCTTAGGTAACCCTTGCAAAAACCCTGCGAAGTTAGTGCCATCATCATCATTACTATCATTATCATTATTCCATTAATACAGAAGAGGAAACCAAAGGACAAGTAGGGCAAGCGACTTGTCTAAAGGACCAAGAACACAATGCAGTGCCCGGGGTCTTCACTGCTGAAATGAACAGGAGGATGCTATGGTGGGGAGTTTCACCAGGTCAGGGAAATGCATGGATTTTATTGTATTGGAAAGCGGAAGTCCAGGTTTCTGTCTCCTCTCTCTCCCTCCCTCCCCGAATACATGCTGCTGAAAACACTCTGCTGCTTCCTGGGAGGGGAGGGGTACGTCTTCTCCCTCTCTCCCTCCCTCTCTCTTCGCTTCCTCTTTCTTTCCTTTCCTTCCTTCCTCATCCCCTCCCTCCCTTCCTCCCTCTCCTTCTTTCATCGTTGTTCTTTATTTTTACTTTTGGACAGATTCAATGTGCTTTGTAGATACAACTCTAAGAACATAAAGATACTCCCTCCCTTCCTCACTCCCTCCTTCCCCTTTCTCTCACTGTAATAAGACAATGACCATTTAGACCCCTGCTCTGGTCATTCTTAACATGCCAGCTGGAGTCTCGGGACAAACCTGGCAAATGGGGAGCCTTCTAATGCTAAAGCAATGTCAACCGAGACTTGGAGCAGGCTTTGACTTCAGGCAGTGTGGTGCACAAACAGTGGAAGCATCCACAGGTGCAGAGGAAACAAGCAGACTGGCACAAATAAAGCCTATGACAAATAATGGGGAATGCACAGATGGTGGAAGCCAACAGCGTCACAAACTCTTTGGGAGCCACGACCTCACCTGATGAACAAAATAAGATGTTAGAAACCGATTAGATGGAAACTGATATATGCAAATTCTCTGATGCAGAGTTCACAATAGCTGCTTTATGGAAACTCAGTGATCTGCAAGAAATCACAGAAAAATAATTTAATACTCTAATAGAGAAACGTAATTGAAAGTTAGAAGCAATTTTAAAATGTCATACAAAGTCTTGAACTGGAAAGTATGCTAATAAAAATTAAAAATGTAACAGATGGCATCAAAAGCTGAACTGGTCCAACAGAAGAAGTCAGTGAGCTTCAAGATGAGCTCTTTGAAAACAAGTCAGAGGAGAAAGAAAAGAATCAGGAGGTAGAAGGAAAGTTTTTGGAAACTTGGGAAATAGCACTAAAAGAGTAAATATCTGAAGCCGGCGCCGTGGCTCAATAGGCTAATCCTCCACCTTGCGGCGCCGGCACACCGGGTTCTAGTTCCGGTCGGGGCACCGGATTCTGTCCCGGTAGCCCCTCTTCCAGGCCAGCTCTCTGCTATGGCCAGGGAGTGCAGTGGAGGATGGCCCAGGTGCTTGGGCCCTGCACCCCATGGGAGACCAGGAAAAGCACCTGGATCCTGGCTCCTGCCATCGGATCAGCGCGGTGCGCCGGCTGCAGCGGCAGCCATTGGAGGGTGAACCAACGGCAAAGGAAGACCTTTCTCTCTCTGTCTCTCTCTCTCACTGTCCACTCTGCCTGTCAAAAAAAAAAAAAAAAAAAAAAGAGTAAATATCTGAGTTACTGGAATCTGAGAAGGCCAAAGGGGTACACACATGCATACACATATTCAGAAATATACATACATGTATCTACATACATACACATATATTCACATAAATGCATATACATACATATATAACTAGAAGAGAAGATTTCAAATGTTTTCGCCAAGAACAGATAACAAAGAGATAACTATGTTTACTCTGCATTGAGTTTGCATAATGTATCAGAACACAACATAATTTGCCCATAACAGGTACAAATATTGTGTATCAGTTAAAAATAAACATTTTTTAAAAGTGAGACTTCTTTGTAAAGGTGATTATGCCCTGGGTGCTCTGTTCCCGTGAATGGGCTGTTGCTGCTACTGCAGGGGGGAATCTCGTATGGCCAGGTGGCTCCCCTGGCTCCACCAGCTCTTGCCCACTCGTGCATTCCTACCTTCTGCCTTGAGAAGACCCAGCAAAAAGGCCCTTCCGGTGCTGATCCCTCCACCTGGGCTTCCCAGCCTCTGAACTGTGAGAAATACATTTCTGCTCTTTATAAACATTTTCAGCTATTCTGTTACACCAACAGAAACACGTAAAACATCTCGATAGCAGTTTATCAATTTTATTGGTCATTTCAAAGAACTTGTATTTTGTTTTGTTGATTTTTTCCTTTGACTTCCTGTTTTTGGTTTCATCAATTTCTGATCCAATTTTTACTACTTCATCTCTTCTGGTTCCTTTAGGCTTAAATTGATCCTCATTCTACTGTTTGCTGGAATCTAAGGCTGTTGATTTTAGGGATTACTACTTTTCTAGTATATACTTAATGCTATATATTTCCCAGAAATACTGCTTTTGTCACATCCACAAACACTTTACGAAGTTATATTTTAATTTTCACCTAGCTTAAAACACTTTAAAATACCTGAGAGTTCCTTTTCTACCAATTTTTTTTAAAGATCTGTTAATATGTTTGTATTGTTTGGTTCTCTCCCTGTTATTGTACTCTAATCCATTAAAATATGAAAATATATTTTGCATGATTTCTATTATTTTAAATTTGTTTTAAGCTGTTTTATGTATTACTCATATGTGGTGTATCTTGATGAATGTTCTCAGTGAGTATGAGAGAATGTATTCAGCTGCTGTTGGATAAAGTACTCCATAAATATCAATTAGTTCTGGTTGATTGATGGTATTGTGTAGTTCAATTATATCCTTATTGATTTTCACATTAATGGATTTTTTTTAAAGATTTATTTATTTTATTTATTGAAAGGCAGAGTTAAAAATAGAGAGGAGAGGAAGAGAGAGAGAGGTCTTTTTTTTTTTTTGAAAGGTAGAATTACAGGCAGTGAGAGAGAAAGAGAGAAAGGTCTTCCTTCCATTGGTTCATTCCCCAAATGGCTGCCACGGCTGGCGCTGCACCGATCTGAAGGCAGGAGCCAGGTGCTTCCTCCTGGTCTCCCATGCGGGTGCAGGGGCCCAAGCACTTGGGCTATCCTCCACTGCCTCCCGGGCCACAGCAGAGAGCTGGACTGGAAGAGGAGTAACCAGGACTGGAACCCGGCACCCATAAGGGATGCTGATGCTTCAGGTGGAGGATTAATCAAGTGAGCCACGGCACCTGCCCCCATGAGAGAGAGGTCTTCCATCCACTGGTTCACCCTTCAATTGGCCCCAACCGCTGCAGCTGAGCAGATCCAAAGCCAGGAGCCAGGAGCCAGGAGCTTCTTCTGGGTCTCCCATGCAGGTGCAGGGGCCCAATGACTTGGGCCATCTTCTACTGCTTTCTCAGGCCACAGCAGAGAGCTGGATCGGAAGTGGAGCAGCCAGGGCTAGAACCGGCACCCATATGGGATACTGGTGCTTTAGGCCTGGGTGTTACCCCGCTGTGCCACAGCACTGGCCCTGGATGTTTTAATTACCGAAAAGGAAGTGTGAAACTCTCCAACTCTGTAAGTGGATTTATCTATTTATCTCTGCAGTTCTATCAGTTTTTGCCCCTTGTATTTTGAAGCTCTGTTGTTAGGCGCATGCACATCAAAGATTGTTACTTCTTCTTGGATAACCTGCAACTTCATCCTTATGTAATATCGCTCTTCTTCGCTAACCATTATCCTCATTCTGAAGTCAGGGCTGAAATTGGTGTAGGTCCTTCAGCTTTCTTCTGACTGACACTGCTTTGGTATCGTCTTTCCATTTCTTCACTTCAACAGTGCCTTCATATTGAACATGGATTTCTCATTTATAAGGAAGCGGAGTATCTCTCTCTGTTTCATCAGCTCTTACAGTCTCTGTCTTTTAATTGGTGAGTTTAGGCCATTCATGTTGAAAGTCATTTTTGTTGTTAACAGTTATTAAAGTTTTTATTATTGAATGTTTGTTCCCTCTGCCCCAAATCCATTTGTTGAAGTCCTTAAATCCACTGTGGCTGTATTTGGAGGTGTGCCTCTAAAAAAGAAATAAGGTTATACATCTCTTCCCTCTCTTATTCCCACTCTTATGTTTAACAGGGATCACATTTCAGTTAATTTTCAACACTTAAGAATAACTGTGTGATAATTACAGAATTAAACCAGTCATATTAAGTAGAACAGCCAGGGTATTCCAATTCAATCCCATCAAGGTGGCATGTGCCAATGCCATCTCACTATTCCAAGTGATCAATTTCAGTTCACAATTGATCATAATGAAAGGACTAAGAGTCAAAGGGAGCACATAAACAAGTCTAGTATCTGCTAACACTAACCGATAGAATAAATAAAGGGGAGAGTGATCCAACATGGGAAGTGAGATACTCAGCAGACTCATAGAATGGCGGATGTCCTAAATAGCACTCTGGCCTCAGAATCAGCCCTAAAGGCACTCGGATCTGGCTGAAAAGCCCATGAGAGTATTTCAGGCATGGAAAGCCAAGACACTCTGGCAAAAAGATCTCTGTGAGTGAGATCCCAGTGGAAAGAACAGGTCTTCAAAGAGGGAGGTGCCTTTCTCTGAAGGGAGGAGAGAACCTCCACTTTGACTATGACCTTGTCTAAACAAGATAAGAGTCAGAGAACTCAAGGGGCTTCCATAGCCTTGGAAACTCATGACTGGTGCATAGGGAGATTACTGATGCCATAAACAGGAGTGTCAATTTGTAAAGTCAACAACAGGAGTCACTGTGCACTTACTCCTCATGTAGGATCTCTGTCCTTAATGTGCTGTACACTGAGGCTTAATGCTATAACGAGTACTCAAACAGTATATTTCACTTTGTGTTTCTATGGGGGTGCAAACGATTGAAATCTTTACTTAATGTACACTAAACTGATCTTCTGTAAAAAAAAAAAAAAGAAAAGAAAGAAAGAAATTATCAATTCCCAACTTGACTCTCACTGGGATTAAACATGACAATAGGTCTGATCTGATTTCATCATCATTTAAAAAAAATCATCTATTATTTTTCACTTTATGTTTCTGTGTGGGAGCAAACTGTTGAAATCTTTACTTAAGGTATACTAAGCTGATCTTCTGTATATTAAGATAATCAAAAATGAATCTTGATGTGAATGGAAAGGGAGAGGGAGTGG